ATTCGACTATAAACTGTATCCAAAATGTAGAGAAATAATAATATGCCTCAGAGTGTCATCTGTCCGGCAAGATTGAGATCCATAAGTCATCCGAGATGGGCCGTGAGGGCATTCGTTGTTGATCTGTTTTAAGATTCAGAATAGCTGTGTGTGCCGCAGTGCCTGGGCTGAGCATTAGCTCTGGTGTTATTGAGTGGTATTTGAAAACTGATACTTTTGAATGTTAGCGTCACATATACATCTTCATATGTATGGGTTTTCTAACGCAGTCGGTTTGTCTGATAGCTCACGCGATACAGCATTGCACTTGTGAGGTGAAGAGCTCCAGTGCGAATCCCGTGAATCTAACCCACCTATAAGGAAGTTAAAATAGCACAGTTGCATCAGCGAATGCGTTTTTATATCACTTTTGCATTCGTTAACACTATCGTGTAAGCAAACCCACTCAATACTAATGCTCTAGGCATTAGCTCTGGTGTTATTGAGTGGGTTTGCTTGGCCGCCTGGGCCATTGAACTTTGGAAGCTAATTCGAGATGAGCCCTTCAAGCTGAGACAACATGAGTCCTGACAGTTCAATAAAATGCTCTGTGCAGTGGCGAAAAAGCGTCATACAGAAGGCAAAGGTTACAGGAGCCAGTAACATCTTTTTTGCTTATCTCATTCAAAAGGTAGTCACGAGTATCTATTGTAACATGGCTTATTCGCCTAGAGCCGAAGCTTTTACTTCTGGATAGGGACGCCAGAACAGATGGGTACATGCATGGCTGTGAGAGTGACATTATATGCTACACGCATGGAAATGGCTTTTATTATCATGTTTGCCGCAGGTTCTATATAGAGGCTGGTAATAAAACACTCATATGACAAGCGAGAAATTTTTGCACACATTTGGATGGAATAGTTATTTGTGTGTGTTTGTTTGTGTGTGTAATGAACATCTACATTATTTTGTGTATTATATGTGAGTGTTGAATGATGAGACCCTGTGGGGCTTTGTGTTTGGGAGCAGGAAGCTGTAAACAGTCTGTCCCAGCTGATCTCTATTCTCAAGGCTCTGATACACACTGGCCATCTGAGAACACACTACAGTTCCCATTCCATTCCACTGCTTAGCCAGAATCCTCACTGCACACATTTCCAACACAGCAAACACATTTATACATGAATAACCACATATAGAAAGTAGAAGCCTTAGTTAGACGAGTCACATACTTTGATTCCGGTACAGTCAAGTGCAGTCAATGCCTGAATAATACATAAAATGTACTGTATAGTAAAAGCAAATCTTCTGCCTTTGATGTGATGATGTGAGTATATTTTTTAAATGTTAAAATGCTTTCTCCTATCCAAGGTTTATTGTAAACCATAAATATTATGAAATGGATAGTTCCGGTCCTGGATACTGATTGGTCAATACAGAATTCTAGCAGTGCTATGAAATATACATAGTAATTGCTTTGATGTAATCTTTGATGTTAAAATAACATTTTACTTCGGAATGCACCAGTTTTAAAATTCTGGTCAATACAGATACAGTAAGCTGATAATTAATTTAAACAAATAAATAAATAAAATTAAATCAAATCAAAAAAAAATTTAATTACGTAAATTTAAAAAATCATTTATTTTACATATGATAACCGATAATTTGACAGTATTAAAAACTGATTACCATTTTGTTTGCATAAATTATTACTAAAAAAATAAGTCAATCATTTCAACAAATACAATAATTAACAGTGTTATAAAATTATTACTATTTTTCTAAGATTAACTTAAGGTGAGCTTTAACAGCAAAAAAAAATACATGAAAACAAATAACACTAAGAGAAATAAGCATACTGTATTTTAAAAAAAATCCAATATCAGTCAATACTACTAAATCTGTAATACTGACTGATATGGTGCCAATATATTGTGCATCCCTAATTTAATTTTTAAATTAAACCTTTCCCTGTGACTATAATATTGCTTGGCCTCTTGTACATTATTGCCTACATTTAGCAGAGTTGGAATGCTGTATTTGTCAATAAGCATTCAGGACTGGAACTCCGCCATTTAGACCAGTATTTTAAGTGTGAAAACATTCTGTTTGTGTTTGTGAAGCTAGCTGTCATATTAAATTAAATCATCAGTTTGTGCTTCAAGCTGTAGGCAGTATGTTCGTCTTTAACCATGTATAGCCGGCCTTCACATGATACCATCAACACAGATAAAAGTGCATCTGCCTAACTGTGTGACGGCAGTCTGGATGGTGGAGGGTTACAGGGGGTGCTTTTTGGATTAAACACAGCTGGCGGGTGTGTAGAACTGGAGGCATCTCAATGGGCGGCACTATCCTGACCTCGCCCCTGCCACTTCTCTGGAACCACGCAAGGTGCCAGGGCAGATTAGTGACTCCGTGGAACTCTGACTGCCGGCTGGCACGTAAAAAGTACTTTCAGCTGGCCCCTGCTGGCTAGTGACACCCACAGTCCTTAACTGCTTTTGACTTAAAATTATCCATCCAAGTTTATTAGAAGCCCCAGGTGCAAGTGGGTCAAGACTGAGCTCACATCAACAGAAGTGGCACAGCAGGAACACATTTACGAGACTGTAGAGTGCACTGAGAACCAGACAGGACATGCTTAACACTGCTGCTTTTGTTGTGTGCCACCTGCACCTATTGATAGCAACAATAGTGAGTTTAATTGGGATTACTAGTATTGATATTACTATTAAAGGAATAGTTTAACCAAAATGAAAATTCTGTAATGTCTCACCCTCATGTCATTCATTGTTTATTCTCTCTGATGTGGAACACAAAAGGACATATTTTGGAGGAGCTGCTCAGTTCCATACAATAAAAATGAACAGTTATGCATACTTTAAAACTCAAGAAAAGGACAAAAAGCCCCATAAAAGTGGTCAATATGACTTGTGTGTGCTATACAAAGCTTCTGAAGACATGCACCACAATCTTCATTAAAGGTTTTGTGTGATGAGCAAACTGAAATTTAAAGGTGCAATTTCCTCTAGCAATGCCATTTTTGCATTTAGCAATTTATGCATTGCAAAAATAATGACTGTTTCAAACAGGTTTCTCAAACACTCCCCCTGTCTGCCAGTGGTTGAACAAACACATAGTACCACCTGAACTTACACCACTGGTTGAGCCAACATTGCGGTGACTGACTGGTTGGGATGCAAACAGAGCAATATATTGATACTGCCACATAGTAATTTACTTATAGTTCAATAATGGCAACTCTCAATATAGATTTAACAGCAATTTATTGATAAGAATAGTAGGATTGATCTTGGCGGACTAGATCTGCTATGCTGTTGCTGCTGAAGGTAAAGTAGGGAGAACCTCATGGTAGATCTAGACAGGTGGTGCTGGGGAGGTGGAGGGCTAAAAAAATTATCTTGGCATGCAGTACTGAGCTGGACCAGGTTGGGATGGGAATAAGGTTGTGTAGATAGGAAAGAGAGATTGATTGGCTGTGCTGCTGGCTTGGAAGAACCAATCAGTTACTCGTAAGTGTTTCCTGGCTCACCTATTATGCAGTACTGATATTTGTACTACATATTAAGATAGGAGAAAGCATTTTAGCATTAAAATAATCATAATAAAATTAAGAAAAATTTTAATCTAATCTTAAATTAATCTCAATAAAAGACATTTCTCAACTATCAAAACCTTACTAACAAGATTACCTGATTCTTCACATCTAGATTTAGGCCAAGGAAATGTTTCATTTGAACATGAAAAGCGCACTCTGTACCTCCCCCTCACTGCTGTTATCCTCTCTGCACTTTCATCATATGTCAGTTTTTCAGTAGTATGATTCATAGTTTTTTCCCACTGAATAGCAGTCCTTTTAAAAAAGAAATGAAGTGGGCAAGCAGAGTTTTCCCGCATATTCTCCTAAAGGCTACTGGGGAGAGTGGGCCATCTCCTCTGATCAATTCTCCATATTGATGGTATGGATAAGAGGGGTAGCTGTCTAGCAAGCATACATATTTTATTACTCTGATATCCCCACTATGGTGAATCTCTAGTCTTGGATAGACTGCAGCTCCCGACCTCCATTTGAGGGAGATTACGTTCTACAGTGTCAGCTGCCTAAGACCCCGGGATAAATCATAGTTGGTACCCCAAAGCAAAGCTTTGACTATCTATTACAGTAAATAATTTATTATTAAAGACTGTGTGAAATGTGTTGGCAGACTGGAAGGAATAGCAGGAAAAAAACATGAAGGTTTAAAAATGTATGTGTGTTGGGGTGTTATTTTAGGAAACATGTTTTAAGTTAAAATACCTCTTTTGCTATTAAAAATACTTTTGAATGCATTATTGGTATATTTTACTTGATGCTTTTGAGAGTAAATCAGAATGACACTTTAACCCTTTCTAGGGCTAATTGATTTGAAAGAAAAAATAAACTACGCCTTTCAATTGAATGTGTTAATTTAGTACAATTATTATATAAAAAATAATGTGATGCATGTGGTAAAAAAAATATTGCTTTTAACTCCCAACCCGTGCAGTGCTACAGGCTACTTGGCATTGCAAACCACATTTATAAAATGATTGTGGAGCCGTTCACATAGGATGTGTTCTTGGTTTAAAAACAGCTGAACGTAGCGCAATGCAGTGGTCTCAAAACACATTTATAACACAGCATCTTAAAAGTGTGTTGCTCATTGTGTGAGATGCTGAAAAAATGCCCTAAGCCCTTTCACTCTCCATATGAGTCCACATTTTGGTGATGCAATGCTGTGTAGACTATTAGGTAGCAGTCTGTTGTGGAGCCAGCATCAATTTGGGGGGCTTTTCTTGGCAAATATTGATATATGTGGTTAATTTTGATTTATTCAAAGAAAAAGTTTAATTTACAGCCCCACTTCAAACCGACATTCACTTGCAGTTGCCCGTGAAGAGCTTTTGTATTGTGCAGCCTCTCCAGAGAATGCAGTGAAAGCAATCAAATCTCTCTTTGCTTTCCTCAACAGGTGTCCATAAACTGTGACTATGTGTTTGTGAATGGAAAAGAGACGCGTGGCTCCATGAACGCTCGGGTGATTTTCAGCTATGAGCACCTGAGTGCCCCTCTTGAGCTCACAGTCTGGGTGCCCAAACTACCCCTTAAAGTGGAGCTCTCAGACAAGAAACTGAGCTTCATCAAGGGCTGGAGGGTGCCCATCTTACCCGACCGCAGGTAAGACATGTCGATGATCTGAGTGTACAATAATACTTGCATTCTGACTGCTTTTTATGCATATTGATTTCCCTGGTAGCGCTTCTAATGCATGTTTTCTTTTATTTTGTTGCTTATTTCAGCCTTCTTAATACTTATCGGTGTTATGAGGGTGATAAAACGGTGTTATAGTTTAATTAGTGGAGTTGTTAAAAGCTTTAAAGCTGGGTCACTAAGGGCTGTGTTAGTTACAATGCGGCTGTAGAGCTGATGCCACATGAGACCAGAATGTTATTCTTCATACAGCCCATTTACTGTGATTTTGACAAATTGAAGCAGCGGTGTTGTCACACCATGCACGGCAGAATATCAGCACAGGCATTTTTCATGAGGAACCTCTCCAGAATTTATCATGATGGAAAATATTCTGGTAACTCACTAGTATCATTATTGCTCCCTTACAGAGGTCTTTCTTTTTTATGTAAATCTCTAATTAAATTCATTCAAATGGGCCATTAAAATGGAAATATGATCTGATTCGGTTATGCTAATCCAATTTGGGAGCAAATCGTCAATCTACATCTAGCCTTCATGTGGCTGGCAGTGTGACGCATGTATGCAACAGTAGAAAAAAAGTCAACCTTTAGAAATTCTGCTGTAGAGATTTATCTTTGGCACGTTGGTTCCTAAGCAACATTGGAACATTTAAAAATATCAGGACAAATAAAAATAATTATCTTGATAGTATGCATTAATATAGAATTTATGTGCGTATATAAAACTATGTAGGAAACTGAAAAAAATGGAATATATCATGGTATGAATCATTTATTCTCATTAACTGTACATTTGTGTGTGTGTGTGTGTGTGTGTGTGTGTAGCTGCTAGGATGCATTTAGCTCACTTAATTAAATATAGAATTTTGCATTAAAGTTCACTGTTATCACGCCATTGTATGCAAAGTCCCTCAGTGCTGTTATACTTTCAGTGTTTTTTCCTGTTTCATACGGACAACACACACACAACACAAGTGTGTCATTACATTTGCATTTGACCTCAATTTGAGTGCCTTTGATTTAGCTTCCTCCCAGAACCCAAGATCTCCAAGGCTTTGTTCACACGTACAATCTCAGTGTGATCAGTTCAAAATCTGATTTGTTTTCCAGTTCCAATCTTTATCCCAGTGTCTGCACTGGCATTTTGCAAGTGAGGAAATCAAATCTGCTGAATTTATCTGGTTACTTTAGTAATGGCTTAAGAGTCAGCACAGCACCAAAAGACATAAGACAGTAGCTGTCACTATGTAAGGAAAGAGAAGATGACAAAACTGAACATTTTGTCTCTGCTCATATTCATCCTGACATCTTGTCACAGTGCTGAGCTACGTTGCATAAGAACCAACCAGGGTACAGTACCAGCTGATCCTGATTAATCTCATGATTTCTTTCAGTTCCTTTTTAAATAGAATAACTTTAGAAAAAAAATGTAAGGAAATAATGTGTGTAATCACTACAAGCTTATAAATTTGTGTGGATGACACTAATAACGGAATATAATAGTAGTCTGTTTTTCACCTGCAAAATGATTTGTTTTTAAGAGACCCTAATAAAATTAAGGTTGACATGAAACTGATATTGTGTCCTATATACAGTATACACACTCACCCTCAAGTCATCCTAGGTATATACACCACTCTGTCGTGAACGTGCATACGACAGCTAGAGGAAGCTAGAGATTAAGGTTTGTAAAGGTTTAAATATGGATATTTTTCTTACACAAACGCATCACTTCGATTCAGAAGGCCTTTATTAACCCCCCAGAGCCATGTGGAGTACTTTTTATGATGGATGGATGCACTTTTTTTGGGCTTCAAAATCTCAACCACCATTCAAGGTGGGAAACTGCATGAGGCAACACAAGCATCAAAGGCATTTCTGAACTGTTTACACATTTATGCATATTCTGTGAGTAAAACCACTAATTTATTCACTTATTCATTGTGAATTTCACATGTGAGCATTTAAAGTATGACATTACATATGTTACATCCCAAATGGTGTGTGTGTGTGTATGTGTGTTTCTTTTTTTTTCTTTTTTTTGAAAACTGATCATATTTTCATACATTTGATTATGATCAAACAACTAACCAGATGCGAATAGACCACAGAATCCACTGCCTGTTTGAAAAATAGCTTATTCTTATTTCCTTTCTCTCTTCCTTTCTTCCCTCCTCTGCTCTGTCCATTTCATTCCACTGCACTGCCCAAAGGTGAGTCGTGTCAGTGGGCAGGTTTCTCGCATTGGCCTTCCACACAGATTGATCGATGTAGCTCACTAAACTGGTGAAACGATGATGTGACTGCAAAACTGGACACAGATTTGTATTGGATGACTGGGTTCCCGTGCATGAAATCTCCAGATCTCATGACATCCTAATGAGTTCAAGCAAAGCTCCACTCATGAGGTGTGTTCTTCTGCTCTGAAACTCATATTAACCTGTATGAGGAGAAAAGAGAGTACAACTGTCCTCAAGAACACAGAGAGCTTCTGTCTGCCAGGTTCAGCACTCTTCAGCTGATGCAAGAGCCTCTTGTTTTTCACCTCATGGCAACAGGAGCCTTTAACTCAGAAGAGAGCAAAGTGCTGATCAGCAATTGCTTTCTACTATCATAAGTCTTCTACTTCTGCGTTTGTGTGCCTGTCTTTTTTTTTGTTGTTGTTGTTGCTGAGAAGTAGCAGTGTGTCTCCTTACATGATAACACAATGCTTTACATTCAGCTCAATTTAGGCTAATCGATGGGCAGGACATGCCTTGTCAGTCACAGGCAGACAGCTGTCTCTACATCTCCAGTTATCTGATTAATTAGTTATGTGTGTGGAATGGTTGAAGTGGCATTCAGCTTTCAAGATCCAGTCAGCCCTTATCCTGCTTCCTCTCGCTTACTTCACATGGTGTCAAACTGCTGAGGGAGCAAATTAGATATATTGAATGTGATGGTATGTATGATCCATGCAAGAGTCACTGATGCAAAATATTTCCTTAAACAGGTCTCCAGATGATGCACCTTTTGATGCTGGTAGTTCTAACAAACTTTGTGGGGGAATTCACCAAAAAATGGAGTGTTGTTTATTTGCACGCACTGACAATTATTTTAACACCTATTGCACTTGTAAAATGAAAATTAATTAGGTAATGTCACAAAGATGCCAAAAAAACTGTGTAAAACGCAATTGCAATCTTGGAAACCGGGACAGTACACATTATGGCCTCATCCACCAAACAGAAAGTTCGCTGATCTGTGCAGTGTGACTGAATATATGACTTATATATGCACTTGTGCATTATTTGAACATTGCTGGATGAATAGCTGTTGCTATAGACAGGGGTGCACATAATTTTTTTATCCTGGATCTCAAAAGAGCACCTGGAGATTTGGTTTGGTCCTCACACTACACATAGTGTGACCCATTAAATATAACTATAAAAAATAATAATAGTGATAATAATATTATTGCACTTTATTTTTTTTTTGGATAAATTAAACAAAATAATAAAGTGTGATAATTCTATTGTGTTTTAAAATAAAAAGGGAGTATTAAATATAAATACAATTATTTTATAGTGCCGTGTTTAGCGCTGCAGAGTGAAGAGCGTCAGCAAAGAACGAATGAAATGTCACAGTTTTGCTTTGTGCTTTGAAAACGTCAGCGGAGATTTATGCTTTCAGTTCGAATAGAAATCTTATATAGTATTACGGTTTGTCAATCTAAAATGGTTATTGTGCATTAACAGCTGTCAACCATGTTGGTACGCAAATGAGCGGTCTGAACTTATTTACACCGCGCAATCTATAAAAAATAATAATAGTGATAATAATATTATTGCACTTTATTTTTTTTTTGGATAAATTAAACAAAATAATAAAGTGTGATAATACTATTGTGCACCCCTGGCTATAGATCTATGTACACCAATGTACACCAATACTCAATTAAAAATAAACAAAAAAGTTCATTTATAGCTTGCTTAGAAACTTTGTGTGTGTGTGGTTGTTTTTGTTTCAGTGTGTCATGTTTTGATTTATTTATTTTGTTTGTTCTGTGTTTTTTTGTGTGTTGTGTTGTGCTTTTTTGTTTTGTTTTGTTTTGTTTTTTGTTTTGGCTAATTAAAGAGGGCAGTTTGAATTACTATGATATTTCAGGATGCTGCAGCAACGAATGGGATTGAAGACTGACCATTTTTGCTCATCTCATCCTCTCCTTTATAGCTACAATGTTAAAATCTACTCGTTTTTTTTTTTTTTTTGCTGCATTAAAGTCTATACAGGTTGTCCTCTAAACTAAACTTTGCATTCTCTATTATACATTTTTATTTTAAAAAAATGATGGTTTCATAAAGGATTAGCCTATTTGAAACCACCATAAGTTTCCTGTGTGTATTTCCTAAAAGGTAAATTTGTGATGTTCAGATCCTCTATTAGTCTAGCTCCATTTTACTATGTAAATTGCAGTTCAAAGTTCACCAAACTTGAATGCAAAAAAAAAAGTAAAAGACAAAAATTCTTTGCACATGCAGGTGTACCAGCTCTTCCATATTATCATTCTTATGAATGGAAGTTAGTGGAACATAAATTCTAGTGTGAGTTTCTAATTTATAGTAAATCATATTGACCTCTCGCTCATCTCCCCAGAACGGCCAGAGACAGCGATGATGATGATGATGACGACCGTAAAGTGAGTCGGGGATGTACGCTGCAGTACCAGAGAGCCCAGGTTAAGGTTCTGACCCAGTTCCACACAACCTCTACTGAAGGCACAAACCAGATGATCACTATGCTGGGTCCTGACTGGCAAGTGGATGTGACAGAGCTGGTGCAAGACTCTCTGAAGGTGGTGGACGCCAGGGTGGCTGAGTTGGTGGACAGGACGGTGCTAGTGGCCAACGAGCTTCAATGCCAACATATATCAATACCATATATCAATATATCAATATCAATACCATATAACAATGCAACTATATAACCAACTATTTAATTCTGCTGTATTGCATTCTCTTCATCCAATATTACTGGACATTGGTCCTTAATCATGGTTTTATACCTGTCAAAACATAATGCAAAGTGTCTTAGGCACATTTATTTAATCCCATTTACTGTCTCATGTATTCAAGTACAAACTTTACTTTCACTGACTTCTCTGATGTTATGTTTTAGACACTAGAAGGGGGCTTATTTTGTTTTATTATTTTATTTTCTCTTTTATTTTGTGACAACAGTTGCTTTTAATCCGGTGTCATCATAATTAGCTAATTGTTTTCAAACAGACAGAATGCTAAGAATATAAATGTAGCTAAAATAGATCAAATCAATAAGGGCTTCTATTAAAAGTTCTCACAACTGAATTTATCTAAGTTAGCTCTGCTGCTGTCTTTATCTTTTAATGCCCGTTTAGAAAGCTATTCATATGCATATTTAGTCCCAGTAGGCAATTCAGAAACTGGGATGTTTGGGAAGAGAATTATCTGTGTGGTATAAAACTTCAATGGTGTTAAATTGGGGGAATCATTCTTGAAAGTGAAGTTTTCTCTCCATTGAAGTAGCACACAATCAGTTCATTGTGTCCAAACAGAGGGAGATTTGATTGTTCTTGAGAACTTGATCACACCTCTTCACAGTGTTGTCTGTTTGTTTGGCTTCCGAAAGTGTCTGTTTTTCTCCATAAACAAATTTGAGCATAAAATAAAAAGTTTGCTAATGAAACTAGGGAAAACTGCAAAGGTCATTAATAATTAATGGCACATGTAGAATTGGAACATTTTTGCTGAATGTGAGCTGAAAATAAACAAAACTGAGCACAGAGCATCATTTCACCCTTACAAAAAAAAGGGAAAGGAAAGTTTGAACAATTTTGTTTATAACTCACACCAGGGCTTTTTTAGCTTATTTGGTGGGTCTTTGATCTTCATCTGCCATTGCACTCATCCTCCACCTGTCACTATGACCTAAGCACAAAGACGCACAACCTTTAAGCTTTGAAGGTCTCTCGTGACACATTGTTTTGAGGATCTTATGAACAGCAGAAAATATTGTTGACCTGTTCTTGGAATCGACTGAGCAGTAATGGTCTTGTGAATCCATCTAGAAAAGCATTAAGAGTACAATGCTAACCTTGCAGGCCTGAATTTATGTGTTTCCTACAACTTAATTGGCTTGCCAGGTCTACCAAGTATAGTAATTAGGTTTTTGGGGAATAGGCAGACCCTTTTTAGCCTTTGAACACACTCTATTCAAGCATCCAAAGTTCTGGTTATAACGCAAATATCAAAAGCTGGTATATCAGCAAGTATAATAAATCTAATTGCAACCGCCTGGATACCAAACAAACAAGCCATTCTGGCAAGAATTTGTTTTTAGTTCCCCTTTTTCTTTCTGTCATTCTTTTTCTCTGTTTCAAATGTGCAGTATCTTTGAAGCTTGCCTTGAACGCAGGAAATAAAAAATGCAGGAACAGAACAGTTCAGTTCAATTATACATTCATCTGGTTTTCCCCCCGGTCTACATCCCCTTTCCAACCGGAGGAAAGGAGATGGGATTGTATAGGACTGGATGGTCAATGAACTGTAACAGCCTGCTCCAAAACATTAGTGCATTGGGACACAAACAATGTGCATCTGGGACATATAGATCGCAAGTCTAGGCTGGATCAGGAAAAGCCTGGGTTCAGCTCCCTGGCGCCCACCACACGCCAGGAGAGCACTGTGTGCTTCAGTGAGAGAAAACTGAAAAATGGCTGGATCGGATTTTTATGCCAAAAGATGGCTGAGAATGGCCACTTCACAGACGAAGTATAATCATCAGCACGGCTAGTACATAAAACTACATCAGCGTTGAGGGCTTTTAGCTGGAGATGGGTAATTTTGAAGTGGGAAGTAATAGTAGCTTGGATGAAAATGTATGCTGCAGAGCTTGGACATTTTTGAACGCCATTAAAAGTCATTATGGACTTTATTAGGCTAAATTGATCATGAAAAATTAGCTTCGCTCCCTCCTATGTGGTTAAGTGTAACCAGCTCTGCTGTGATTAAGCCAAGTATATGAAGGTAATATAATTGTTCTTTGTTTGGAATAGCTGTAATTGAAAAGAAAAGATAATGAACTCAGTTCACAAATACCATTTTGACATTTACGGATGGTGACAAAGCAAGAACAACTTCAGTTTCTGTCAACATCTTTTAGTGTTCTTTACTTGTCATAATTCTTTAAACTTCTGTTTGTCATGGAGAGACTGAAGAGTCGGCTACTGGCAATGGTTCAGTCTGTTTTAAAATTCATCCAAGTTCTATGTACTTCTCCTTCTGATTGTGTCTTTCTTGAGGCAAAAAACACTCCCCATGGTCTGACTTGTTCTTGTCGTGCAAAATGCGAGTTCAAGTTAATCTTCCCAAATTATGAAAAGTGAAAAACCATCGCTATATTGCGGCAGGTTTTATCTAACTTGGCGCTTTGTGGCTCTTGGGATTGCCAGGGTCTCATGGTTCAGCAAAGACACACAGGGGGGAAAAATTAGAATCTCTGACCCTCCTGGTCGTGCCTCCCCACTTGACTTTTCACTTGGTAAGTCCCTGGTGACCTTTAACGGTGGTGGGAGGTGAAGAAAATGTGACATAATGGGTTTGAACTGTCAGATGGAAGATTTATGTGGAGACGAGTGCTGGCCGTCCTCTGGAGAAAAGGTGTATTTTTCCATTCTTCCTTTACTCAGTGGGCTGAATCTTGAATATGTGGGATTATCCACTAAACTATTCTGTTTGACAGGCATTGTATCTTCACTCCTCCCCATATTTTCTTCCATTTAAAATGTCTTTCATACTGTAAAAATGCATCATGTTTTGTTGCTTTCAGGTTGAATCCCCACTGGCAGTGGAGGCGGTACTGGGTGAAACACAGTTCTCTGTGGTAGACGAGAAAGTGTCTATAGTGGAGTTACGTGTTCATGCCATCTCGGGACTGGCACTTAATCTTCAACCAAGCCCTGGCAACAGCCATACTATGGTTGCCAAGGCAACTGGTCTGCAGACTCTCTCCATTCTTAAGCAGGTATAGTTGATTGCTTCATTGTTTTTCATATCTTCTACAATAAATGACATTTCATCATGCTTTCTTGATGGTATTTTGTTAAATCCTCTGGTATATTCTTCAATCAAAACTGTTTTATGACAGTCTTAAGTTATGAATGAGTGTTTAACCAGACTGAAGACTCTCTGTAAGGTGCTCAAGCCAATTTTTAGAACTTATTACAGTGCATTAGGTTTGTTTCTGGTCCAAGGCAGATGTATTATCGTTATCTAAAATGAAAACTAATACTAAAAATTATAATAAAAATTGTTACTTGAAATAAAATAAACGTTAACTGAAATAAAATAAATAATAAAATAAAATAAAAACTTAAGACTTCTTTTAATTCAGATAGTTGCCAAGATAACATTTCTTTTTGTTTGTTTGTTTGTTTGTTTGTTGAAGGATTAAAATAACTAAATACCATACTAAATACTAACTGAGTACTAAATACTATGTATAATAAAATACTATATTAATAAATACTATACAGACATTAAAAAAGTACAAAGAAATAAGAAAACAAAATTACTAAAACTTTAACTAAAAGTACAGTGAAAACAAAAACTTTGAAAATAAAATTAATTTAAAATATTAACAAAAATTATAAAAGTATATCAATGATACTAAAATAACACTGGTCTAGAGACCAGTCTCTAGTCTCAAAAACTTGTATTAAACATCTATAAACCATGCAAAGTTTTTTTTTTTTAGCTGAATTTTCATGGTATCATCATTATGAATGAAGACCCACTGAAGGTCTTCAATGTCAAGTCGCATATTCTGATTTGAAAGCCTAGAAATGATCACACTTGTTTTGGCTCAAGAAACACATTGAAGAAGCTAAGTTCATTTATAGGCTACACAACATACAAACTTGTATCTTCACATAATTGTCTAAATATGACAGTATCATTCATCATCATAGCCTCTGCAGCTGAGTCCAGAGAAAAGCTCTAACCTTTGGCCCCTTCCACTAATTATGCAAGTGACATTTATGTGAAATTCCTCCTTGTTGCTCAGGATCATTCTGCTCCCGAAGAGTTAACTCTGGCTGAACTTAGCCTCATATTGATGATTCGAGTCTTCATGAAGGTTACACACCATTGGCAAATTAGCCTCAGTTCAGTCTTCCAGCCGGCCCTCACTGCTTTAATAAAGGCTTGTTTGGCATTCGGACATATTCAAATCTCCTTTAATATCAGCACACCAAATGAGCAGGCATCTTGCTTAATAAGAAGACACCACCACTTCTGTTCTCTGCCATCAGGGGAGCTTCGTGTGTTTGCTGTATAATCTTTTCAAAGCATTAATTGGAGCACATTCGCTCATATTTTCCAGCGAGGAACTCGTATGCTGCCGTGGTAATTTATACAATGTCTTGGGCAGGTCACGTAGCCCTGCCGTGAGAGCTCGGGGTCTTTTTTCCTGCTCTGTACTTAGCCTATGACCAACATCAGACGAGGGTGCCTGCCTTCAATTCACGCATTAAAATCCAGCAGTTCTGCCCGCTCTCTGCTTCTCCACTTTTGGTTTTAATTAGCGTAATGTATCAGCCTAAGTGCTTGTGGAGACTATAAACATCAGTATATGCTATAAACATCACTGATGACCCTCCTCCTCCTCCACTGCTGCCTCTCCATCATTTCAATCCTTCAGTGCACTTACCTACTTCACCTATGCAGTCACAAAATAACAGTAACTTTGTGATCATTTCACTTTACACTTTACAATAATGTTCAAATTGTTGGTATTAATGCAATAGGTGTCATGAACATTGAAGAGCAACAACAGAATGTGTTAGTCTTTGTTAAAATGTATTAATATAATTTAATAATTAATCGAAAATTCATTATTATTTCTATATATACATTTTTAATGCCAGGTGTAAATTGAAATTAACCTAGATTAAAAAATTAGCAGGTTTTTTTCACGGAGGTAATTAATAAATATACCATTAGCTATTAATTCAAGTTTGTTGACAATACATTAAAGAATGTTAATTTATTCAAACTAATGTAATTTAATCAGAATCTGCAAAAATGAACATTCACCTATAATAATAAATGCTGTCAAAGTATTGTTAGTTCATGATTACATTAACTAATGTTAACAAATTGAAGCTTCTTAAGTGTTACTGATTTTCTTGCTCTTTCTTTTACATTTTAGATGCCCCTTTCCTTTGTTTCACTGGCAGCCTTAAATAATTGATTTTGTTGTATGCTGGTGTTAGCGATTATTCTGTTTCAAAGTTCCAAGTTTCTTGGATGCTTGAACATTTCACTTCTGTAGTTTATGTACAGTACATCCAAAACTACCTTCAAGATAGATCTCAAACACTTTTAACAGTTAGAAATCTAATGACATCGATGTAAAAGTTATAGTGCCATCTCCCAAAGACTGATGCTTCAAGAATCAAAGGCCATTCGTGATTGATACCATTTTATTTAGTGGCTAGAGTGATCTCGAAAGGTCCACGAGGACAACATGTCGTCTGCAATGTATTATTCAGATCATGCATATCAAAGACTCTCTTCATCTTGACAAGCAGCGTTGACAGAGCCTGAGCCCGAATGTCAGAACAACCTTGAAGTTAGTGACGTGACAGAAGAGTTTTTTTTTTACAGATTCACAACAGGCCATTGCTGACTGGAGACAGATAAATACTTCTTTTCTGAATATAAAAGCAAAGCAACACTTAATTTCTGACTAAAAGCACTCTGGCAGAGTGGTTTCATTTTGTCTGCCTGCCAACAGAAGTAAGGTGTTGTGCTGTTCCTTTTGCAGAGAGCAAAGCAGGATGGCAAGCTTAGACTTGCTATGAGGTGACAAGAACAAAAGCATTGTGCCAGTTCCACTTCCCCCCAGCCTGTGTTTCTAATGGTCAAAAGCATGCAAGCCCTTCTGATGTCAGCTACATGTTGCTTGCTCAAGACAGTTGTCTTGTATGGACCAGTAAACACGGGATAATGAATATTTAAGAGAGTTTTGAATGTCAGGAGATGAAGATGGCAACACTTCAGTATTGATAATCTCTTTGTGGTGAAGAGAAAGTTGTTCAACATTTTAGCATTTGAAAAAGTCTGCTATGCTAATGCTAGCTCTGATGTTGCATTAAGAATCCCCTTAATGCAGCATCCGAGCTAGCGTTAGCGTAGCACACCTGACGCAAGTGGACAGCGCACAACATCATAAAATTCAAAATTGTAGTTTTGTTTGAATGTACTATATATACACCACTGCAGCCATACGACATCCATCAACAGCACCCAGCTACGACTTTAGGGGCTACACAATATCCTTTTGCACCAGTAAGTGCTACTTATGTACTCATTTTTTGGTAAAGAAAGTGTAAAATTAAAGGGATATTTTACCCAAAATTGAAAATGTGTTGTTAATTTACTTAACATTTAGCCATCCAAGATGTAGGTGACTTTTTTTCTTCAGTAGAAAAGTAAAGAATATTTAAACAGTAAAGTTTTTTTTTTTTTGCTGAAACCGGTCCTTGGTGATTCATAAAAAGCAAGTTGGCTACTTGAGAATCAAAAAAGCATATGCAAAATTATTACCTCTGGTTTCTGATGATATATTGAGGCCTTATGAAACGAAACGGTCAGTCTGTGCAAGAATGAAAATTATTTCCAACATTATATACAGATACTGGATGCTATATACTGGGATGAACCAGTTCAAAACTAACTTTTGGAGGTGCCCGATAGTCACTCAGACTTAAAATGAGCCTATAAACCGGCATATATAATGCCATTTCTTGCCAACATCACAGGCACCAAAGAATTTGAAGACAGATTTAAAAAAATTAACTGTTATAGGGTGTGTAAGGGTTGAGTTCATGCTCACAATTTCTTTCATTTTGTGTTTGTAGGAGGCCAGTTTGTCCATCTGGGTTTACTACAGCGACAATACCGCCGCCCCCCTGAGTATGTACGACCCTAAAGACTACAACCTCAATGCCACCACAGCAGACGATAAGGTGGTTACGGTGGCTCAACAACCCCAGCAACGGTGGCCAGTCATCGTGGCCGAAGGTGAGGGCACAGGAGAGGTAGTGCATGTGGAGATGACCATCTGCGAAACCTGCCAGAAGACTAAACGCAAGAGTGTCATTGCTTCGTCTCCTTTGTTCGTCAAAGTCCGCTTTGGACCGGATGAAGTCTCTGAGGAGGAAGTGGATACAGAAACTGAAATAGACACTCAAATGCCTGCCAACAGAAGGCCCGCTATCGATTCCAACGTAGGTGGTGGAGGGTATGAGCCATCTAACGAGCAGCCCGCAAGTGTGCCCATTGATTACACCAACTTTCCTACAATAAGCAATACGGAGGAACCAACCGAAGAAGACGAGGAGGACGACGAGTTTGTGCACAGTCCCCGTAGCATGACTGACCTGGAGATCGGCATGTATGCTCTTCTTGGGGTGTTTTGTCTTGCCATTCTGGTCTTTCTTATAAACTGTATTGTATTTGTGTTGAAGTATCGCCATAAGCGCATCCCTCCTGAAGGCCAAGCCAACATGGACCATTCCCACCACTGGGTGTTCTTGGGTAACGGGGAACCCCTGCGCACCCAGAGTGATCTCTCGCCTCAGACGGTGGAAAGCCCCAGCAACACCTTGGAGGGGGTACAGACTTGTTGTCATGGGGACCACGCCAGCAGCGGCAGCTCCCAGACAAGCGTACAAAGCCAAGTTCACAGCCGAGGAGATGGCAGCTCCGGAGGTTCCACCAAAGACCACGGAGAAGACGCCAGCTCACCGACCTCCAAACGCAAACGTGTCAAGTTTACCACCTTTACCCTTCCGACGGAGGATTTACCCTACAACTCCATCCCCATTGCCAACGAAGAGGACATTCAGTGGGTATGCCAAGACATGGGCTTTCAGGACCCAGGGGAACTGCACGACTACATGCGCAGGATAAAGGAAATAGCCTGATCGGGCTATGTGCTTTCTAAAGACGTTCCTTTCTATTTTCTTTCTTAATTTTCACTCTAGAGGAGGTACCTTTCACAAGAAAAACAACCAAGGCCTAGTGTCCACTTTTGTTGGGGTTTTCTGCACAGTGCTGTTTCCCTTACACATTGACACTTGTACAAACTAAAAAATATTCATGACGCTGCCAGGGAAGCCAAAGACGAGTCTTGAGGGATTCTAGCAAAAATGGCTGTAGTGATGTGTATGATAGCTGCTCAGTAGAAGGGTGAGTGTACAATCTTTAAAGGAAACATAGAATTTCAGTTGTGAACAGTGTATACTGATATCAAAATGGATTCCTGAAGTACTCAATCAAGTGTGGGTTACCCTACTGTGGATAGGATCTTTCTCAGAGGAATGCCTGGAGTCTTGGCACTGTGTCCATTCTTCTTCTTCTTCTCTTTATTTTAATTCAACAGATTCTTCTCCAACAAAGAGGCCTTTGAAGTGCAGATTCTACTTTTGTCCCAGATTTGTGTTTGAGATGGATCATTTTCACGCCATTGTTGATAAACCTGACACTTAGCCACAGAAACTGTCAGGGATGTTCGTGAGAACGTGCCATGGATTCTTTGTCAGTGTTGGAAATGTTGAATGGTTTTAATCCCCTTGCCCCTTTTCCACGTTATCTTGGTTCAACACATGCCTTGGTTGCTGCATTAGTTCTTCGTCTGTCTTTGGTATTTCATACTCATTCTCAATCTGGATGCCACCTGCTTCTTGTCTTGGTTAAGTCTAATGCCTTATTAAACGGATCTCAATAGTCACAACCGCGTTCTGTGCTGACACCACATTTGCTCACATTGGTAAGGGCCAAAGCAGGAGCAACTCTACAGATGTCTGTATCTCAATTAAATGTGTGTCGGCACAGGAAAGGCAGGAGCTTGTACATTGTGGAGTTAGATATCTTCTCCAACATTCCTCTGCATGAATGGAGACTTGCAGGCACAATTAGCATTATTTTTTTTTATTTTACTTTGTATATGTTTGTATTGTGAGAATTATCTAATCATACATAAATGATAATAGAAGACATATCATGTTACCATGCATTACATGCATGTGCCAGACCCTCCCTTCTGTGTACATACCATGTTCAGTACATAACGACTTCAGAAGCTTAACTCTTGATTACTCAGTTAGCCTGAGGAATAGGGGAGGCAGATGCCATATAGGGACTCGGCAGGCAGATACTTGAATTTCAGTGAGGTTCTCTTTTCTCTTTCTCTTTTTCTGTGTCTTTACTGATCTCACCATGAATTCCCATCCAGGCGGTAATAGAGTTAAGATCTCTGGTAAGGATAAAATGCTATGCAAACACACTGGAGGGGTTGATTATTGTGTTTAAGTATCTGCCCCGGATATTGCTATAGCACCATGGTTACATTCGTTAATATACCAAGAAATATCTCAAAACTACAGTAGTTGTAACATCTGCCACAATGTAAACTGCAGGTTTTGAGATTTGTTTATTTCTTTTTAACTTTGAAGCTCGCTAGAGCTTTGTTAAAGAAAACACCACAAAATGCGGTAGCACAGTAGATCAAGCCCGAAACTTTAAACATTTAGTAGTTTAGAAAGGGGTAAGCTGGTAACGGGTCTGGAAGATGATATCTGATATCTGCTGACCTATCACAGGTTAGTTTCAGGGTTACATTCCCCCCAGTTTCTTCAGGACACCCAAATTCACACACTGTATTAAATGTTTATTTCCCCACTTGTAACATGCAGGATTTATGCATGACTTTGTTTTAATAGTCGTATTAGTCATTTTCCTGTAACAAGGAAGGAACACCTATTATAAAATGTTTATTCTATTATTATTATAACATTATTTTTATTTTTTATTTTTTTAACTCACCCCTAATTCAATCAGGGGTCCTTTTCACTCCAGATAAAAGTCATAGAGAACTTATTACTGACACCTCTCCACCTTTCTCCTATGATTTGTAGCCCCTTCACCTCTTTCTCAAAGGATTCGGATGAGTAAACCATCGTGTGATGAAATGTTAATTGATGATGTAACACGTCAAGGTATTAGGTTTTGCTAAACAGTTGGAGTGTTGGTCAAAGGTGTAGTTTAACCCACATTTTAACTTTATGGAGGCTCAGAACTGAATGTAAACTTTTCAACTGTACCTTGATGATCAAAATGAACCATTTCCAATGTGTTATTAAGGTCTTCTGATGGGGTACATAAGACTCTATATGACTACTAGCAAGTCTCTGGTAGCAGCTCATACACTTTTCCGTTTTCTAAAATTATTTTCCTAAGTGTAATATCACCATCAGGACATTTTTGGTTTCATATTGTTTTCTACTTTCAACTATGTATGTAAATGAAACAGCGGTTGCAATATCTGCACTTACATGTTTTTCTTTTTCAAGAGGAGCTGCTACTAGGCATTTGCCTTGACCACATGCTGTGTTGTGGTGTAGATTTGAGCTGTACTCTCTGTTCTGCTGAAGCACGGTACTGTCAGCCATGTGCTGCCACACCCTTAATGTACAGAGCACTGTTACAACATCCTGTATCCTCCCTACAAAGCAACTGTTGTATTTCCCTCCTTATATGTAAGTACTAAAGAAAATACAATGCATAAACTTGGTGTTGTGTTTTTTATTTGACAGTGTACTTTGTATTTTAATGCTCTGTCCAAACAATAGTTGTCTAATGAGCCTACTGAGCTGTCTAGACAGCTGCTAATTTATACATTTTGTTAATTTAAACATTAATTTATAAAGACTATTGCTGTTTGTTAACAATAATCAACAGACAAAATAAATGGAAATGGGGGGGTAATTAAAAAAAAGTTCCTTTTCAAAACTGCTATTTTATTTTATACTCAGTAACATCAGTGCACAAGGCACACAGCACACTCTTTTGTTACAGAGCCGAAGGCAGTTAGAATATTTTAACAGAAAAATTGTAAACAGAAACATTTTGTTGGTTTATTTATTTATTTATTTAACATGTATTGGAAAGTAAATTTTTTTTTTTTCAAAATAGTGTACTTGCAGATAATATAATATTAATTAAATAAAAACCTATTTACGGAGAGTACACTTTCATGACACTTTAATTATGTTTCTTAACGCACTTAAGCACACTTTTAAAAAGTGAACTTTTGTAATAATGCCAAATTAAAAATTATTTTATTTTAAAGCACATTTAAATCAAGTTTTAATAATCTTTTTTCGTGCTTTAAAGAAGTACACTGATTTTGAGGGTGGACTAACATACTAAAGCATATATGTAATTGTTATAATTTTTACTGCAGTGTGTTATTTGATATTACAAAGTTATGTTAACATATTTAAAGTTAAGTTAATGTATTTGAAATATATTAAATTGGTAACACTTTATTTTACAGTGTCACTGTTACACTTGTCTCATGTACTTTATTATAGTAATAACAGTACATTATGTATAATTACATGCAACTAACCTTAAACAAAACCCGGTAAAACTTTATTTTAAGTTGTCCATTTCACATGTCACATGTACTTACTATTATAATAACAATTAATTAAGCATAATAACATGCAAGTAACCCTAAACCAAACCCAAATCCTAACCCTAACCATATAAGTACATGTAGTCAATTAATGTTACTCAGCACTTACTGTATATGTATAATTACACTGTAACAAGGACATCTTAAAATAAAGGGTTACACTTTATTTTAAGGTTTCCTTGTTACAGTGTAACTATGCATTTAAGTACTGAGTAATATTAATTAACTACATGTACTACTTATAAGGTTAGGGTTAGGATTAGGGTTTGGCTTAGGGTTACTTGCATGTAATTATGCATAATTAATTGTTATTATAATAGTAAGTACATGTAACGTGTAACAAGGACACCTTAAAATAAAGTGTTACCAAATAAAGTGTAACCCAAAACCCTAATCATAATCCAAACATAGTTAAACTGTAACAAGGACAGCTTAAAAATTGCAACTTTATCATTACACACTTGTAATTGCAAATATATGTAAATATATGACATCGAAGTGTCAATAGAAATGTATTAAATATTGTGTATTTAAATAATATTTTAGTTAACCTTAAATGCCTGTCGGTACATTCGCCAGTACTAACCATATTTCAAAGAGAAGTAATTATAAAATTACTTATAAAGATGCACTTATGAAATGAGAGTACTCTTTTTCAGTAGCCATTTATTTCATTAATATTACTGTATTAATCTGCATGTGCAGTACATTAAAAATTTGAAAATTCATGTACATTAAAAATCTGAAGCACACTACAAGTGCACATTTAATACTTAAATCCTCTGAGGAAAACTTCACAAAGCATAACGCAATGCAAGAAATTAATCAACATTCTTTTCCAGCAGGAATTCAACAATTATATGATTTATAATACATATTCAGGTGCAGAATGGCTAGTGCTTGGCATTCATTGCTTCAGCACATTCCTTTTTTTTTCCACCATTGCTTTTGCAATACCAGACTCACACATAACCACTCTAGAGGTTAGTAGTAGGTAAAATGAGAATAACAACCGCCTTCATGGCATCTGTGACTGCCTTTGAGGATGTACAGTCTGTGCTTAGAACTCCCATGGGAAATAATGTGGGTTTTGAACTGATGCAAAGACTTCCTCACTTACAGGTCTGTTTTATTGGGCCGAAATGCGAGAAAAAAAGTATTTCTTTTGCTGTACATGAAACAACACCTCTTTTGCACCTTCACTTCATGTACTCTTCCTGTATGTCTTTACCAGCGATTGAGGCCTTAACACAATGTGTATCTCAGAGCCACATACTTTGAACTCTGTGTGTGGCACATACTGTAAATAAAGTCACACTCATACACTTACACACCGGTCAGTTCTCTGAGAGGTGTATAACCATCTGTCATCAGAGAGAAAAGCAGTGCAGATCTATTGGTCTACAGGTGAAATGGGTAAATCTTCAAAAAAAAAAAAAAATGTGTCTTCAGCACATTGGTCTAATTGGTACCAACAGTAAAGTGACGGAAGAACAAAGCCAAGGTCTTCATTTAGAGACCAGTGGCACAAAGGTGACTGTAACTGAAGATTGATATTATTAAGCTGGAAAAGAAAAGTGTAATATCACTCCCCAGGTGTGTGTGTGGTGGGAACACGTATCAGCTGGCGAAGTAGCCTGTAATATAACCATGCAATGTTTCCAGACATTTAATCAGCTGGGAGTTGTCAGGAATGTCACCGCTTGAAGCCACTCATAATTAAAAGGTTGGGAGTTATCGCACATCACAGAGTTGCCAGCATTTGATGGAGTGCAGAGAGACGTTCATTTGGAATGCATCCTAATTGAAAGCTTTTATTGAAGAGATTAATTAAAATGATAAATTAAAAGGAAACAAGCAAATAATGGAGAGTAATAGTCTTGTTTTAGTTCTGGGTGCCTTCGTATAAATCATTATGATTTTAGTCCACTGAATAATGATTCACCTGGTCCATGACTGTGTAAAGTTTAGTTTTTCAATTATGATAGAAAGTCTGAGTAGAACTCTTTAACAGTAGTGCGATTTTTCAATCAGAGCTTTGGAGCGGCACCAGGACTTGCTACAGATTAACTTAAGAGGTTCTTTCAACTTATTTTTTCGCTTTTTATAGTGTTCTGTAAAATTTCAACATAGATACAGCCTATAAATTAATATAAATCCATGTCTCCTTACAAACTTGTTTTGCTAATTACATAGATAAATGTGAAATGTACTGTAGTATCTCTTACACCTTCCAATTAATCGCAACTCACATTACAATGACTAAAAGGTGATCATTTATAACAATATCAATCAGTTATTAGCATTTACAATTTTTTAATAAAGTTATTTAAAGCAGGGTTTTCAAAACGTGGCTTAGAAAACCCCTGGAGGTCCGTGAGGGAACTGCAGGAGGTTTGTGAGCTGATGAAAAGCTAAAAATGCTAAAATTAATTAAATCAGTTTTTCATCAGTCTATAATACCGTGTTTTCAGAGAGACTCGTTTCACAGTTAAAGGTGGGGTAAGTGATTTCTGGTAGCCAATGTTGATATTTCAAATCACCGAAACAAACACGCCCCTACCCCAAAAGGGTCTCGCCCCTATTTTGATAGCTCTGCCCCACAAATATGTATGAAACCCAGGCAACGATTATGGCGGAATCTGCTGTATTATTATCTGCTGTATTAAACATATTATCTTACTTTTCGGACAAACTTTGGGAGCTGACGCTTGAAACAGACAGTGGAGGAGTTTAGACGCTCCAGGCTTGTGGCTTGTGCAGGGTGTGGAAATGAATGTGTCTTTATCATACCTGAAGGGAACAACAATACGATTGCAGATTAACAAACAAGCGAACATGACACACGAGCATATTCAAGCAAAAGCCAGCATATATTAGTTCTGTGAAACAAAGCAAAACCAATGTTACTCACCTATCGAGAAGAAACAAAGCAACCTCGGCGTCCGATCGCAGGCCTTCCCACTCCTTGAGTTCTCTCCAGTGCTGGAAAGCTGATCCGAAATTTATACGGGCCCTACTTCTTGCCTTATCGTAAGCCTTCTTTTGTTCCGCAGACGTTTTCCTCTTTTATTTTTTTATCCGCCATATCTTTCTGTCATCGCTCGGCTCGGCTAATGTCCGTCCTGTGCACTGAGCGCTCTCTCCTCCACATCATGAGTAGACACGCCCCTTACTGCTGATTGGCTACAAGTTTGTTTTGGTACTCAGCCCGACTCAGTTTTCTAAAGCGTTTTAAAAAAAATACATACCCCACCTTTAATGCTCATGAACTGCACCTCTGCAAGCACTGTGAGTTTAATGTGTATCTGTGAATGCAGTGTGTGCTAGGATGACTTTACTAACATTCAGTCGTATAATTTCCAACATTTTTGTTAACAGAAGTTTACAGCATTTTGCCAATATTCCGCTAAAATAAAAGATACGACCGTTTGAAAGTGAAGAATTTAAAACAACTATTTGTATCCTAACTTGTGTTTGTTGGCTCTTGTAAAGAATGAATTCAAGTTTAAACGGTCTTAAAAGTAACTATTCATACTAGCAGTAGAGTCTTGTTCTTTTTGTCTGGATGTCTCAGTAGCAGTAGTAACACTTTTATATGAAATTAAATGTCATGTCGCAGCTCAAATATTCATAATTTTAAAATAAAAGCAATCCAACTAAAACACTTAGTAAAAAAACGTAGACATTTTATGTTTACTTGCATGTTATGTTAACGATATCAGAACTGTGAACAAGCAAATGTGTCATTAAATTATTCAATTATCAACTTTCAGGGGGTATTTCAGGTAAATATTTTATGTCTAATGGGTTCTGCTTACAAAAAAGTTTGGTAACCTCTGACTTAAAGGTATGCTGTTAACTAACTGTATTTTCATAGTATCTTGGGTTTGAATGTTTTATACAGCATTTAAACAGCTTACTGGTCTTTGTGCCTTTTGTGAATATAAATGAGATATTTTGAGACAGATATTTTTTCTTCCAATGGAGTTCAATGGTTACTTTTATTATTTGTGTTCCACAAAAGAAAGAAAGTCATACAGGTTTGGAACCACATGATAACAGAATGTTCATTTTGTGTG